AAGCGAGGCAAGCGCTGCCGCTTCCGGCACCCCGACATCAGCGAGGTCACCAACCTGGGCGTGCGCAAGAACGAGTTCATCTTCTGCCACGACTTCCAGAACAAGGAGTGCGTCCGTCTCAACTGCCGCTTCATCCACGGCACCAAGGAGGACGAGGACTGCTACAAGAAGACGGGGGAGCTGCCCCCGCGCCTGCGGCAGAAGGTGGCCGCCGGGCTGGGCCTCTCGCCCGCCGACCTGCCCAACAGCAAGGAGGAGGTGCCCATCTGCAGGGACTTCTTGAAGGGCGACTGCCAGCGGGGCGCCAAGTGCAAGTTCCAGCACCTGCAGCGGGACTACGAGTACGAGGCGCGAGGCATGGCCGCCCGCGAGCAGGGCATCGTCCCCGCCGTCCGCCGCTACGACCCCTACGACGCCATCTACGACCCCGACCGCTACGACGACCACGACCCCGTGCTGAAGCGGCGGCGGGTGGACGGGCTGCACTTCGAGACCTACGAGTACAGCTTCGCCAGCCCGCGGACGGTGGAGTACCGGCTGCTGGAGGAGGAGAACATCATGCTGCGCAAGCGGGTGGAGGATCTCAAGAAGCAGGTGAACAACCTGCTGGCCACCAACGAGGTGCTGCTGGAGCAGAACGCCCAGTTCCGCAACCAGGCCAAGGTGATGACGCTGAGGTGGCGCTGGGCCCAGCCGCCACCGCCACCGAGCAGACTCTGGCCCCCACCCCCCACGCTTCTGGCCCCCACCGTGGGCACCGTCACCAACTACAACCACAGCATCGCCCAGACCCACACCACGCTCAGCAGCCAGGCCCTCCAGCCCCGGCCCGTTTCCCAACAGGATTTGGTAGCTCCCGCCGGAGCCCAGGCGGCTCCCCCCGCCAACGCCGCTCCCCCCATGAACCCCGAAATCACCCCGCTTTCGGCCGCCTTGGTCTGGCCCCCACCGTGGGCACCGTCACCAACTACAACCACAGCATCGCCCAGACCCACACCACGCTCAGCAGCCAGGCCCTCCAGCCCCGGCCCGTTTCCCAACAGGATTTGGTAGCTCCCGCCGGAGCCCAGGCGGCTCCCCCCGCCAACGCCGCTCCCCCCATGAACCCCGAAATCACCCCGCTTTCGGCCGCCTTGGCCCAGACCATCGCGCAGGGCATGGCCCCCCCCGTCTCCATGGCGCAGGTGGCCGTCTCGGTGGCGCCGGTGGTCCTTTTCACGGCCGAGCCGCTGGGTCGG